TACATACTTTTACACAAAAACATTATACGCTGATTTCCCATTTTCAATGGGTTCAAGGTATAATAAGGACCCAACCTGTATCTAAGAGTGCAGAGCGTTTCAAATTGTATTATATCACAAAAAAATAACAAAAAAACTAGATACTTTATCCACTATCTGCTCAATTTTCAGATAGCTGAAAGTTTTGCTGATCTTACATATATCGTTTACGCTAGTAACAACCGACTTAAAGTCAAGTTTGGTTATCTAATACGATTTCATTTTAAGGCAAATGGTTATATGCCTAGTAAAATATATTCTATATTATACACGATTTTGACTTTTGCTCTAAAAATACCATGGAAGGTCAAAAATGTGGGAAATAAATACTCGATTTGTCAGACATGAAAACTTAAGATTTTAAATACCAGTTTACATTAAGTTTTTTAGTTTAAATTTTGAATATATTAGCTTCAATGTAAAATTTTCAGAAAACACTTTTCCCTTAAAATACATTTTTATATACGTACGTTTGTTCCATTGCTTCGTAGATATAAGAGAAACTAATCAAAAATATTTATTATTTTTGTCAGAATATATTCGGAAAACTTCTTATTTAAGTTTTATTGGTTATTAGTCTTCAAATTTAACTTTTGGGAATTTTAAGACAAATCTTTTTTCTGTTTAGAAGCATAGCTAGTTAGGAAATTGTATTTTGTATACCCTGAACCCATTGAAAATGGGAAATCAGGGTATAATTGTTTTATTAAAAGTATGTATCAAGGCGACGAGCTGAGTCGATTCAGCCCTGTCCGTCCGTCTTATCGTAAGATACCTCCTACACCTTTAGAGCTAGAGCTTCCAAATTTTCAAATTCATTGCTTACTGCGCAGTTAGCAGAGCGCGTTCTAATACGTGCGAGTGCCTAAAAGAAGTGCAAAGTAATTAGAACATCAGATTGGAGGGCCAAGCAGTCTCGACTAGAGTCTTACTTGTTTTCCAAATAGTTTTGGGCATAGGCAATCGTTGGTCACCCTAAATTTAAACAAGCTACTTTAATTTTCGGCTTAGACAGTCCTACCATTGAATCATTCCGACATTTAAAGCTTTTTTTGATAATTAATTCTAAATAAATTGTAACGACACTCACCTGCTGCTTTGTTGTGTCGCTATAGTTGTGTAGCTGGTGCGTGCTCTTTTTGATTGGCTATCCATATTGTCACCGATTTCTGGAGCTCTACGTTTACCTCGTGGCATGACTTGTGTGATAAAATTACAAAAATTTACCTTTTTACCAAAGTAAAAATGGCAAAATTTCGATTTGGCTATATGTCAATATATATTTACTACACAAATTTCTTGCTGTGGATCAAGGATAATTTAAAAAAGTTAAAATGCAGCAATTGTTGGATATGTAAGAATGTATACTTACCACTGTCCCTCAGCGCAAGGCAGTTATTGTAACATTATATTACGGCAACATTGACATACATAGGTAGCTAGCTACAATATATCAACTAAAGTTATGAAACAGCAACGATTTGTTTATTTTAAAATTTCGTATGTTTAATTTTGCAGAGTCAACTATGTCCGGTCAATTTTTATTTATACCTGCCATATCTAATCGGTAATAAAGGTGTGTCCTGAATTAAAATTGAGCAAACGGTCCGACACCCGGCAAAAAAAAAAAAAAGGAAATATATATATATTTATATATGCATACATATATATTATATTAATAATAGCAGAAGTAAATGTTCATTTACACAATACAATACATCTAGTGTTTATGTCGATTTATATATCGTCTGCATATAACTGCACAATTTCAGCATATATTGAAAACACCGGCAGCACATTGTATGAGAACTTGGTATCGGTATCGTGGTTGTTTTCGCCATCTCAACCACACACGGAAGCAGCTGATACGCCAGCAGCAGACGGCTGCCTGCGCGTGCTTCTCTTTTTACGTCGTCAAATGAAACTTGCTTGATTATGACGAATTGAAGTGTGTTTTTTATTCCTTTTCAATGTACATACAATGTTTCGCACTCCGTTTAAACAAAATGTGATCAAAAAATTGATATTTACCATCTAAATGTTGATACAATTTATAAATTTACAGGTCTTGGCATCAATGATATCGATATTTTGATATCGATGCGGCGATGTTTTCAGTGTTTTTTGTAGGTATTTCATCATATCATCGAAACGTTGTTTTTATGGCAGCCCTAAAATATTGTAATTGCTGCTATCGATAAATAGAATACCATGAAATTATATTTATCTGAAGTTTAAAAAAAGTGAAATATAAACATAATTGGAAGGAAAAAAATCGAACACTCATTTATATTATAATTATTATATATATAATATGTTGTTGTTTTTTTTTTTTTTTTTTTTTTTTTAAAAAAAAAAGAAAAAAAATTTAAAATTTTTTTTTTT